CTATATCAATATCTAAAAACATTATAATTGTGAATATAGGTTAATATCCTTGATTTGTGTCAATACTTTTTATGCACTCAAGTTTGTACCTTCTTATTAAAATGTAGTACTAACTTGTTTTAAAGACTAACATAACCTTACTCCGTTAAAAAAATTAACTTTACCAAGTCACGTTCCATTAATTAACGTTAGTGCATTATCACTCCCTTTATGACTACCTTGAATTTTCAATATAATATATCCTACGTGAATGCATACATTAAGTTCAAATGTAATATACTGCATATAGAATTTCGCAGTAGTAGGTCACTATAATAATTCATTTATAAGTAGTGTCACACTTAATAACGTAACTCTCATTAAATTGATGTTTTTTCATAATGTTTCTTTTCCCTATCGTTATTTAATTTTATCATCGTCTTTTACTCAAGTGACACTATGAAATTCTGATAAAAGTGACTTGGAATTGTGGTATCATTGAAATGGGATGAATCGGCTGATTCTATTGAAATTTCTGAAGTTCTGGATGAAGTGATTAGATTGACTGATTCTGCTGAATTATGTAAAAATTATATTTAAATTATACTCCATTAATGAAATAAAGAAAAAAATTAAAAGCTAACTAAAAAGGTCCTCTACGTTAAATTCGGTCAACTCATTCAGAAAAGTAATTCATATCTTACTTATTTTATTATTACACAATTCGTTGTGTAAGATCAAAAGCCACGTGTTAAGTTAAAGTGAAACTCATTTTCGTGTAAAAAACAAATATGTGTCTGGAGTAATTTATGTTTTCACTGCACAAATCTCAATCACAAAGTTACCTTATTATTTTATGTGCAAGTCAAACTTGACCAAAGAAGAATATGTTAAAAGTTAAAACAAAAAAAAATACAGCCAAATCACATAATCACGTACTTTAAAGTTGTATGACATATTTTCCACATAGAATATAATTGATCGGACAATTTTTGAATATACTGAGTATAAGATGTTCGATTAACTATTGACAAAATCTCACAATAATTTCACATGTAATAATTCTTTACGAACAAACATTACTTAAATATTGGACAAACACTATCGCGCCTTGCGCGAGTAGACGCTAGTGCATTCATACGTATCAATATCACCGAAACATTAAAAAATCCCTCTTTTGCAGTAACACATTAGTCTTGTTGCACCACAACAATCGTAAATACCCCCAATCTACTTTGCACCAATCAATTCACTTTTTATCTCTACTCTTTACTGCAAAGACGACTAAGTGCTCTAAAATATTATTCTCTTGCAAAAAATACTCATTTGTTGCACTATCTGATGTTATCTCTACTTCCTTATTTGGTTCATGGTTTTTAAAGTGGGATGTGTATGGGAATACTTGGTCTATCTATCCAATCAATGATTCATTCCTTTTTAGTTTTTACCTTCATTTTACTAATACACCCCTCACATTAATTAATGCAAACGAGTCTAACGCTTCTTTGATTTTCTTTCCTTTAAAACATTGCTACTCACATATTGATTTATGGCCACACGATCATTTTAATCAATGTCCTGGATTTTTTCTCATTTCTCACCTAATGATGCCTTCTTATTGGAACCTAACCCTATATACCATGTTTTAAAAATTATAAAATGGCTAGAAACACAACATTAACTTAAGATAAGTGACTATATTCATTTTTTTTGAATTATTTATACTTTTGTCGGAGATTGCTATTACTTTATTTATATCTTTATTGTTTAAATTGTTTTAGAAGAATGTGTTGTTATCTTTATATATCATACGAAGTATATTGAAATATATAAACCTATTTATAATAATTCTTGTTCAAAGTTGAATAGAACATCAATAGGTTACATTAGTATTTTGTAATTAATCTTACTAATGATTTTAGTATGTCACTACTAACACTGATTTTCTATATTTCATTTTGCATATAATAATTTGTTATCAAAGTTCAAGTAAATGATGATAATTTATCGATAGCGTACATTTATCGTACCAAAGTTTCAGTATATCAGAACAAGGGATACCGAAATTTCAGTTAGGCAACGGATATAGATCTTTACATACCGGATATTTTCAGTACGGTAAAAGTATAAGATATAATATCCGCTATACTGTACAGAACCACCGCTATACGTGACTTCTGTACATATTTGACATTGTTCCTAATGAGTTTGTTGGGCTTTTCCCCAGCTTCTCACGATTGAGCATAATTCTATCATTCTATGAAATTATGTTCCCATTGGTCTACTAAACAAGATCTCTAATTCCTATGATACTTCTTGTCCGAGGATTCTGGTAAGAGACTAAGAGTTTAATGAAGGAAAACCAAATTCTAGGAACCATTGTTCTTGGAGCATTTATGTTAGGAACTTAGGAGTACTTGTGCAGGAATGCAGGATGAACCACCACTTTTGTCATCCTTTGTCTATAAGATTGACATGTTTTTCAATTGACTGCTGCTACTCCTGGCTAAGTTTGTAGTTCCTGGGTTGGGGCATAACCTTGTTTTCCGCAGGTAGTGAAATGAATGCAGCCATCACGCTTTTGGGATCGTTTCCGTCTCCGGCTCAAGTCTATTCCACTATACTCACATACACCACACTAGGAGGAGGCTATAGCACACCTCTCTCCTTACTCTCTTCTAACCACTACTCACTCAAGGAAGACACTGCTCTCAAGAATACTCTCGCAGGCTTATCTCACAAAGGAGGAGTGTTGACTTTATAATAGGCTGCCAGCATATAGCAAAGTCACGGGCAAACAAAATAGCACTCACGGGTTTGGCAAGGACACTCACGGGTATAAGCCAAGACAATAAGAGGGGCAGCGGTCAGGCAAGCAGTGGGGCTGACACCAGGTATATAGTTGATCAGATAATATATCAAGATTAAAGGCATCAAAGAGGGAGTAAATTAATAGGGTGCAAGCCTCAGCTAATAAAGTGAAAGAGAGACCTTGGTAAGACCAATACACGCATTATGTTATTATTCTTGGGTAGCATTAGGAAATTTGTTGGCACGTTTTACCACCTGTTTTTAGCAGATTTTCCAACATGTGTTGCAAGGGTATCATAGTGAAGGACAACACATTAAGAGGCATAATCTTGGCTATCCTATTGTTTTATCTCTTATATATGACTCGTTTGTTAACTTGTCTTTTGGTAACCACTCTTTTGAATTTGGAAGACCAGGCATATTTTTTACAAAAGATTCATTTGTTTGATCATGAATGATGAATTGGTTAGAATAGAAAAATCATTCTCACCAAGGTACGGGTGGAAATGAACAGTTCCAATTCCGGAACTGCTAGTTCCGACTTTGTGAATAGGAAAACTCAGAAGGAGAACATGTCAGTTCTCCAAGCTGTTCAAGACCTTTTTCTTTTCAACTTTATATTATAATCCTGACATTCAAACCCCCACGCCCAGTTCTGTGACCCCTTTAATCCAAATTTTATACTACGTACCATTGTTCAGTTCTTGTTACTCTTTTCTAGTTCCAGTCCTAGCTCCAAATCTGACCTTTATCCTCCCCTAGCCGAAGGTATCCTTTTGGCTTAAGTGATCGAGATACCCATGTTAGTCAATCATACTCCGTGGTCCATACGATATATTTTCCATTTATTTTATCATGAAAATATATCTATGTTTTCCCATAATACAGCCAATTCAATCACAAGTACTTCCTCTGTCCCGGAAACAAGTTCCCTCTTTCCTTATTTGGATGTCCCAAAATAAACTTCCCATTTCCTTATTTGGCGAATTATCTATATCAAAAAAGTGCAAAACAGTGTCAAACAGTGCCAAACAGTGTCGAAACAGTGCCAAACAGTGTCGAAACAGTGTCAAAACAGTAACATTTACCCATTAATAACTTTATTTACTTAAAATGTGTGAAAGTCAACCTGGGAATTTGTTTCCGGGACGGAGGTTGTATTACTTTTTTTTCACAGATGATGAATTCCAAAGAGTTGGGCCTACTGTTTTGGACAATGCTGATCATGAAGGGAGCTACGACATCTCTTGCCTGCTACCTCTACAACCTGCCGACGAGCTACTTGGGTTAAGGTTCTACTCTTGAAGAGAATTAAGGGAGGTTTTCGTATGATGGTGACCGCGTTGAAGAGCGTGCTGACTAACTGACCGCAATTTCCACCCATCCCTGTCGGAGCACAAGGGAAAGGCAGGTGCTCTTTCAGAAGTCAGAACATACAGGAGCTACTGGGAACGTATATCAAATGCCTTCAACAGGCTTAGGAAAAGGCACCACTGCTACATGCTAGTTAAAAGTTTCACTTCAGTCTTGCCGTATGGGAGCACGCACGATGACATTTGTACAATCACCTTAGAAAAGGAAGGGGGCCAGCATCATTATCCTGTTCCGTAAATAACATGACATTCCACAGATGGGAAGTCATTGGGAACTAATTATCCCTAGAAAAGGGGGCCAACATCACCAGAGTGTGCTCCAGAAAGCCCCTTGCTCCAGAAAGTTGGTAAGGACCAGTCTATCCAGTTAGGGTACAACATGTTTTATGACAAAATGCTTTTCATTGGCGTGGAGGATGATTCTGAGGCTTTGTCTTAGAGCAGGTCAACAAATCCTGGGACGGGAAGGAGCAGTTCAGGTTCATTGGTTCAAGGAAGAAGTGGCAATGTGGCATTAGATGCCTTCAATATGACAAGAGTTCTCCAAAGGGTAATTGCGACTTTTGCCTTATGGAGGGGAAACCATGACCCCACTTCAGAGGCGACACTGGGCATCAGAGAGTGGTTCGAGTACCCCGGAACTTGGGGTGATCAGAGACATGTTGGCTACGACTGATGGTACCTGAGTACTTCAATGTTCTATGTTTATAGCTCTGGGGTGCATCCAGAAGATACTGAAGGACCAGAACCTTTTAGTACCTTAGACAAAAGCAGTCACTGACTGCCAGTCAGTAATAGTGTGTGCATATTGTAGGGTTTATGCTACAATATTGTAGTGAGTTTGAAATGAAAGATTTGTACATTCACTTAATGGGATATAATTTGCAGTTTAATTTCTTTGTTGCAGTGAATACTCATAACAGACAATGTAAGCGAAAACAGTTTGAAAAAAGCATACTTAGAAGAAGAAGCAATTCATCAAACAGAAAGCGTGACTTCAGGTTTGGAACAATTACAAGGAAAAACAGAAATAAACTGTTGAAAGTTTCAATCTTGAATGGGAGAATTGGTAACAGTAGATGCCTGTCTTATTGTTCGAAGCCGTTGGATCCACTGGCTCTCCGGGACCTGAGCTGCCCAATCTGGAGCAACCCCGCTGAACGAGATACCTCGCATGGCCTCCATCACTCTCATTGCATTCTCCGGCGTTAACGATAACGAAACACTGCGACGGCTCTCGTCGTCCCTATATGGCCTCCGAAGAGACGAATCAGAAGAGGCCCTTATCCTCTCCTCTTCCAACCCTTCTTCACATTCGCCATCCTCATCGCTCAAATTCAGAGATGACACTCCGTTTTCAACGAAGCACGCGTAACCGTTCGGTAAGCGGTTCGAATCACTGAAGAATTGATCTCCATCCTCATTGACGAGATCTGGACTTCGATCGGGAGATTCTTCGTCATCACTTACGTCGGCAGCGATTGGCTGGTAGTATTGGGAAGCTTCATCGGAGTTGGTATCTGAATCGCTTCCGCCGGAGATATCTGCGTGACGTTAGTTCCAGATAAGGATCTGAATAACTTGCTCAATTCGTGTAAATTGCTCAAAAATTTATTCGTATTTACCTTGAACAAAATCCGGCTGAGTGCTCGACGCAGCGTTCATTGCCGGCAGCTGCAGAGTAGTCGATAAATATTCAACCCGCCTGAGTACCTTTCCATTCCATTTTGTTGAAAGATATGTACGGATGTACCTATCTATATATATATATATATATATATATATATATATATATTTTTTTTTTTTTGATGAAACGGATGTACCTATCTATTATTAGCGGGGCAGAGGGAAGGATTTTACTTTCGTACTACATCAGTAGTACATCCATTCAACAACACTCACATAAAAAATGGTTAGGTTATTAAAAAAAAGTGGAAAAGGTGTAAATAGGTCCATGTTTTAACCAAAAAAGGTTAAATAAGTCCTTATTTAGGAGGCTCTGTTCGGACGTCGTCATTTGGGATGGTTCCTGGTGGAATTTTTGATGGAATTTTTTGAGCATCTTATTCATGAAGTCTAGTTTACTCATACCAAATTTCAGTTAAAACTTCAATCGGAAAGACATTCAAATGAATTCTTGAAAATAACTGCACAGTTAGAAGCGCAATTATCTTCAAGAATTCATTTGAATGCCTTCCCGATTGAAGCTTTAGATGAAATTTGGTATGAGTAAACTAGACTTGATGAATAAGATGCTCAAAAAATTTCATAAAGAAATTCCACCGGGAATCACCCCAAATGACGACGGATTGACAGAGCCTCCTAAATTAGGGCTTATTTGACCTTTTTTTGGTTAATAGATGAGCATATTTGCACCTTTTCCCAAAAAAATCATACTAATAATCCATACTTTTATCCATTCTACAATAATGCTCAGTACTGAGCCAATGAATAGAAATAATCCAAACAAATTAACATGTTCACAAAATAGATTAAATGATACGGCCATACGGGGATGACAGTTCCGATTAATCCCTCACCCTTATTCCACTTCCCTGCTCGATTTCCTTTCTTGTGTGCTGGTGACACACCCAAATTGCGCTTCATTCTCCTCTCTGTTATAGCAAAGGAACATCTTAATGACCTTACTCTTCTTCTATCTCTGTTCTTAAATGATCTTTTCTCCATCACATCTTAATTACTTCCTTTGTTCCCTTTTAATTGCAACAGTCAACATTTCACGTTTGCCAATGCATAACTTTGACCATTAATATCTTTCATTCTTAATTAGTAAGAAATTTTATTAATATCTTAAATTTTAGAATGAGAACTGAACAATATTTTTTCAAATTTAGTTTATAATACATTAATAAATAAAATATAATCAAAATAAAATATGTGAATAGTGCAAAAAGTCCAATGTTGCAATTAAAGGTAAACGAAGGTAGTACATCTTATCTTAGTCAACCCACTTCATTACTTATCCCGGACCACCGAACACATAGTTGAAATGAAATAGTCAAAGAGGGTTTGCAACGGCTTCTGCTTTTAAAAAAGTGTTTTTTTAATGACATGGGGAGAAGTGATTAAGCAAAAGTTGATAGTGTTTGAGAAAAAAGTGATTTTGAAAAGTAAAAGTGGGTAGTGTTTGGTAAATAAGTGCTTTTTGTGTAATAGAAAAAGTAAAAGCACTTTTGACGCGGAAGCCGAGAAAAATAAAAGTCGTGGTGTTTGGGAAAATAAGTGCTTTTTTAAAACCAAAAACTGAGAAGTGCTTTTTTAAAAGCAGTTGCAAAGCAACCCTAAATAGCTCAGAAGAAACGGTTCCGTGAAACTCTTTGGATAATCATCCAAGTAATGTGTTGAGCTTATTTTCACAATAAATGGATTATAATTAAGTGTTAGGGTTAAATTAATTTAATTTTAGAATTGTTTTTATGTGATATCCATAAAAACATAGAAGATTTTGAAAATTTTCACTCTCTTTAGAGCCTGTTTAGATGGAGTGTTTGGAAGTGTTAGTAATGGAATTATTAGTAAGAGTTGATACTAACACTTCCATTACTAACACTTCCAAACACTCCACCCAAACAGGCCCTTAGTAACATAGAAGATTTCCGCCATAAACTGCTCAACCAGAAAGAAGGCCTTGAGGTGAGCCTTTCTCATATGTAGGGAGTGTTTGCAATTGCTTCAACTTTAAAAAAGTGATTTTTTTAAGTGATTTTGGGGAAAAGAAGTGATTTTGGGAAAAGTGATTAATAGTAAAAGTTGGTAGTGTTTGAGAAAAAAAAGTGATTTTGGGAAAAGTGATTAATAGTAAAAGTTGGTAGTGTTTGAGAAAAAAGTGATTCTGGAAAAATAAAAGTTGGTAGTGTTTGGTAAAATAAGTACTTTTTGTGTAATAGAAAAAGTGAGAAGCAGTTTAAAGCACCCTTCTACCTGCTTCCAACTTTTAGCTTTGAAGTGATTAATTTAAGCAGAAGCTATCATTTGAAAACACTTTTTTCAATTTTTTCAAGCCAACAGTTGAAAAGCACTTTTTTTAAGCAAACCCAAACACTCCTACAGTCTCACTTATATAGTCCTGTAGCCAAGGATCAACTGCTCAACACCGTCTTCTGTCCAAGTCAGACTGGGCAGCTGAAAGGAGGAACAATGGGACCAAATCGATCCATAACGGGCCTGTCCGAAATCATTGCGTAAATTTGGTCAAACTCACCCACAAAAGAATGTTAGAAGATGATGTTTACCTCAAACTTATACGTAGTACTCCCTATATAATTAATTAGCTAAAACCCCGTAGACAACCGATTTGAGGTACTCAAGACACCGCTTTCAACCCAAACCAGGTTCGACAATGAAAGGATGCACAAGTGAGCCTAAACTCATAAACCACATGACTTTGATACCATGTTAAATTAGGCCTAACTTGTCCAACAGTCCTCAAGCAGTGAGATATATTTCACAGTTAGAGCCCGTTTGGTAGCACCAAAATCGGCTGTTTTGGCTGATTCTGCTGAAATTTATGATATTCTGGCTGGAGTGGCTGTTTTGGCTGATTCTGCTGATTTAAAAAAAAAATATTTGAAAAATATATTTTATTAATAAATTAAAGAAAAAATTATATGTAAAAATAGCTAAAATGGTCCTCTACAGTAACTTCAGCCAATACAGCCAGAAAAGTAACTTCAACCTTACTTTTTTGGCTTATTACACAATTCAGCGCGCGAAAGTAAAAGTTACGTGTTTGGTGAAAAAGCTGGCTGATAAGCCTGATAAGCCGAAAACAGAGTTCTCCAAACGGGCTCTTAATTTTTTTTTATTTAAGCCAAAATTCATTGCTGAGAGATGAATGTCCTCACACAACATTTTATGATACTTAAATTAAATGTTTTTTTAATAAAAGACATGAGCTGCTGAAATGAAAGTACAAAAGATAAGGTGAGAAAAAGAAGGATGAGACTTATTCACGCCAAATATAACCGTGGATCCAAAAGAAGTCTCGAGAAGCAAAAATTCTATGCCCGTTTAGACTGCTGCCTAGTTTGCACAGTCTTAATCGAAGAGGCGTTGCGTTTTTTGTCCTTCCTAGAGACAACTGAAGTGAAACCATCTTCTTCCTCTTGTTTGGGTTCTAGAAGTGCATTCTTGTAAATAGGAGATTCTTTGTAGATAGGGTGATCATTGAGTAGTTTATGCTTCAGAATTTGGTGTGGTCCTGAGTCGCGCAGAAGCTCCTTAAAATTTTTCCGTGTGAGACCTAGAGTACCTGGGGCCACTTTCTGCAGAATCGAGTAAAGAAATTTTTCTGTAGCGGAGCGGTCTGAGTATTTTTCTGCTAGGTAATCTGCTGCAGCATCGAAGATAAAATATAGACCTACCCCATCATTATCAAGAGCGTGCATGAATTCTTCTATACTTTCACCGCCAACTTTCGAAATTGCTCTATTAACCATTCCTTCCTCTATGGTATTAGCAAAAAATTCCTGCAAGAGAAGAAATTCAGTGGAAGAAGAGTTGGATAGGGTATTTTTTTGTTCAGAAACCTTGTCAGAATCATCCATGGGCATCTTCTTCAAAACCTTAGAAAAATCTTGATGTTGGTCCCATTTATCAGTTAATTCCCGAATTGCCTCATCAATCTCTAGCAAAGAAGAGTGTATATGTTTGAACTGATCATCCATAACCAAAATTGGTGTGACCTTTTCATATTGATATGAAACCTCCCAAGTTAAGTTACCAATATCCGATTGAAACAAAAAGTCAGAGATGGAGAAATCAGCATTATTGGGATTTGTTCTATTCATTTGTAGTTCATCCAAACTCTTTTCCGTCCTTTCGAGTTTCAAATTGACATGTCGGATTAGGATTTTCTCTTTCAATTTCTTTCAAGATGTTAATAGCTTGAGAGATTTTGGACTCGGTGTATATATTTCACAGTTATATATACACTGAAATGTAACCAAGTAGACCATTCATGTTTTATACTCAACATAGTTATCTTGTGATTTCTGAACAAAGTGCATGGTACATTGCGGATAGGAACCATCCGTTCTTGCAGCTATCTCGGTTTTGAGTTTTTCCCTGCTGGATAGTGGGGTAAGAAGTGTTGGTGAATGGGAAATGTACGGTGTAGATCCCAATTACACGGTGTATTTGGTCTGGGAGCTACAGATGATCCACATTTGTTTACAAGTGTTGCATTGTCCCTATGTTTTAATGGTCTAGTTGGATTATATTTCATAAAATTTCATGCAATCTTTTGCTATGGAGCAAAGTGAAATCAGCATTTAAATTGAGAAGGTGATGATTCTTGTACTTGACCAATTTCAAGGCATCTTTGTTTCTTTTCTTTTCCGCACTCTTCGCGTATAGGTTAGCAACGTAGAGGTAAAAGGCGAAAACACAATCTTAATGGGTTGTGATGGGCTATTTGACACTGTTTTTTACCATGAGCTTTGTAAATGTTAGCTGCACAAGCAGATGAATCCCATGCTGGTTCTTTGCTTCCTGCTTCACATACGTGCCACCCTTCGGGCTTTGTTTGTATACAGGAAATATATCTTGGTTTTTTTTAACTACGTACTGTATATTACGAAAAATCTATTTTGTGGGTCAAACATCATACATATTTGTTGGAGGTATTGGTCCTACCAAGGCCTCCCTTCCATTTTATTTGTTGAGGCTTGCACCCTATTGTTTTACTCCCACTTTGGTACCTTTACCTTGGTATTTTATCTGATCAATAACATACCTATTTGAGGGTTGACTTACCCACTTGGCTGGCCCCTCTGTGTTCTGTCCGCTGCATACTCCATTTGTCTTGGTCTTGCTTGTGACTTTCCTTTGTCTAAGATGCATGTGAGTGTCTTTTGTATTGACCTCACCCGTGACTTCCTTGGCAGCCTATTAATAGTCTTTGCTTCTTCCTTGTGAGCCTCAGCCTGCGAGAAACACTTCTATTGAGAGCAGTGCTCCCTTCTTCTTCTTTCCTTTGTGTGAGAGCTGAGAGAGGTCCTAAGTGGAGAGTCAAAAATAGAGTTGTGTAGTAGCTTCCTCCTAGTGTGGTGTATGTGAGTAGTGTGTAGAAAGACCTGAGCCGGAGACGGAATCCATACCTTACAGTGGTATCAGAGCCGGAGTTCGCCGTCTGCCGCCGTCCGCCGCCGCCGCCCGCCGCCGCCGTCGATTGGAGCTCGCCGAAGGTCTTGGAGCTGCCTGGTCGTTCCCACGAGCTCGCTGAGGTCTCTGTTCGCTGAAATCGAGCTCGCCGGAAGTGGAACCTCCGCCATCGCCGCCTGGAACCTCCACCATCGCCGGAGGTTGGTTTCCCTCTATCCGGAATCGCCGCCGCTGGGAACGAAGCTCGCCGTCCGGAAATATCTCGCCGCTCGCCACCACCGGTCGCCTGCCATCGCTCCTCCGTCGAAGCCACCAGCCTGCGACATTTGTGGCTCGCAGGACTGGAGCTCGCTCATCGTTGGTGTTTCTTCTCTCGCGGAGAAGCTGAAACGAAGGCGCTGGGAGTGCTGTAGAAGGGCCGCTGGTCAAGCTGGAGCTTAGGAAAATTTTGGGCCGGTTTCTTCTTTTGGGCCTCTGGACTGGAGTTGCTGGCTACTGGAAGATGAGTTGCTGCTTCTGAGCTGGAATCGGGCTAGTGGACAATTGGGTCAGTCCATTTGACTGTTGGAGCTGCTGGAAAGCTGCTGGACTTGGACTTGGACTGTTGGGCTGGATCTGTTACTGGGCTGCTAGACCTGGAGCTGGAACCAGCCAACCACCAGTCAACCGCCGGTCAACCGCCAGTCAACGGCCGGTCAACGCCGGTCAACGGCAGTCAACCCCTCCAGAAAAATCCCAAATTTTTTAAATTTGGGTAGGTAAGGTCGAAACGCTCTCCTAGGGTTTCGCGAAGGTAAGTTTTCAATAAACTTACTATTTATAGCATTTCGGCTTTAATTTAATTTAATTTATTCCCCCTCCCCGCGTGCCGCCGGTTGATTTAATCCCGGCCGCCAACCCCCCAGGTACGTTTTCTAAACTCACTCCTTTGTGGTAGTTTGTTTTTAGTTAATTAATTAAATTACTTTGTGTTATTTAATTTAATTGTTATACGTAGGGGTGTTTTATTGGGTGGTAGGGGTAGAATTAATTAAATTTAATTTTTTCTGCCTGGAATTGTTTAAATTGCCAAAATGTCCATTTTTTGCTATGTGTTGCATGCTGCCCGGGGTTATTAAAGTGAATACTTTATAACCCGGGTTGGATTATTTTCTGTCATTTCTATCTGTTTAGCTTTGTGTTCCTTTGTGGTTGATACCATGGCTGCGAATCAGTATGGTATGCTCCCATTTAATGGAAAAACAGATTTTGATATTTGGAAACAGAAAATAAAATGTGTTTTAATACAGCAAAAAGTTTTCAGAGCTGTCACTGGTATTTTCCTTGAATCAGAAGATAAGGCTAAGCAAATTGAAATGAACGAAACTGCTTGTTCTACTATTTACTTGAATCTGTCTGATTCTGTGCTTAGGAAAGTGGGTATTCTTGAGTCCGCTAAGGAGTTGTGGGAGAAATTGGATAGTCTCTATACTGATACCTCTTTGCCCGGGAAGTTGTTCTTACTAGAGAAATTCTTTAGGTTTAGGCTTGACCTGACTAAGGATATAGATGAGAACCTGGATGTGTTTAATAAACTGATACAGAATATCAAACAGGCAGGTGATAAACACATAGATGATTACACTCCCATAGTATTACTTAATGCCATTCCCGACTCTTATAATGATGTTAAGTCCGCTATTAAGTACGGTAGGGATGAGATTTCATTAGACATTGTGGTGAATGGGTTAAGGAGTAAGGAATTAGACCTGAAGCATGCTAGGGGTAGTGCTAGTCAGTCCAGGGACTCCGGTGAGGCTATGTTTGTTAGGGGTAGATCTAAGGGTAGGTCTAAGAACTCTAAGCAAAATAGTCAGGGTAAGAACACTAGTCAGCCTGGGAGGAAGAGGAGCAAATCTAGGAAGAGAGTGTGTTACAATTGTGGTAACACTGGCCATTTCATTAAGGATTGCCCCCACCCTAAGAAGACCGAGCATGCTAGTGTAGCTGTTGATAAATGTGACCTTGGTGATATCTTGATGGTTTGTGACCATGTTAATTCTGTGAGAAATTCCCTGTCTGAGCATGAATGGTTGATTGACTCTGGTTGTACCTATCACATGTCCCCCTTTAGAGATTTGTTTTCTACTTATGAATTATGTGATAGTGGCTACGTTTCCTTAGCTGATAATAAGAGATGCAATGTGCTTGGTGTTGGTGATATATGTCTGAAGTTTTCTTGTGGCTCTGTGTTTACCATTAAGAATGTGAGGCATGTCCCTGATTTGTGTCATAACTTGTTATCTGTTGCTGCTTTGGAGAGTAGTGGGTTACAGGGAAAATGGGGGAATGGTTGTATGAAAATCCTGAAAAACTCGCTTGTTTTGTTTAAAGCTGAGAAGGTGAATAACCTTTATGTGTGTCATGCTAAACCTTTTGTTGAGTCTGTGAATGCTGTATGTTCTGATAAGACCTCTTTGTGGCATAATAGGCTAGGACATATGAGCAATAAAGGTTTAGATGTCATGCGTAGGGCTGGTTATTTTGGTAAAGACTCTGTGACTTCTGTGCCTTTTTGTGAATCATGTGTGTTAGGCAAGCAGCATAGAGTCAGTTTTCCTCCTTCCTCTTACCCTAATCTGTCTAAATGTTCGTCTGTGCTTGAATATGTTCATGCCGATGTTTGGGGTCCTGCCAGTGTTCCTACCCACGGGGGTAGGAAATATTTCCTTTCTATTATTGATGACTTTTCTAGGAAGGTGTGGGTTTGCCTTTTAGAACACAAGTCAGATGTGTTTGTGAGGTTTAGGGAGTGGAAAACCCTAGTTGAAAACCAAACTGGCAGGAAGGTTAAAACCCTTAGGACTGATAACGGGTTAGAGTTCTGTAATAAGGAGATGGATAAGCTGTGTGTGGATTGTGGGATAAAAAGGCACAAAACTGTGCCTTATACTCCCCAACAGAATGGGATAGCAGAGAAAATGAATAGGTCTCTATTGGATAAGGTTAGAAGCATGTTAGCTACCTCTGGTTTGTCTAAGAAATTCTGGGGTGAAGCAGTCACTACTGCTGCCTATTTGATTAATAGGTCCCCGTCTGTCCCTCTTGGTGGTAAATGTCCTGAAACCGTCTTTACCGGTAAGCCTCTTGATCTGTCTAACCTTCGGGTGTTTGGTTGTGCAGCGTATGCACACCAACAGGGTGACAAGTTGGATCCTAGGTCTAAGAAATGTGTCTTCCTAGGTTATCCAGAGGGGGTAAAGGGTTATAGGTTATGGGATAGGAACCAGGTAGGCTTTAAAGTGGTCCTTAGCAGAAATGTGTTGTTTAATGAAACTGATTTTCCTTGCTTGACCGAGTCTGCTTCTAATCCTGAGTCTAGGTCTGATAGTACTCCTAGTGAGGTGGAGTCTGTCCCTGTTGCTGCTAGTCCTTTATCTGTTGATCCTGTTATTTCTGATGATATTGTTATGCATGATTCTGATTCCTCTGAGCATGATAGTCCCACCACCTCGAGTGAGGTGGAGCATTTGCATGATACTGAGCATGATTTGCATGATATGGGTGCTGAATCTGATTTTCATGATAACAATAATTTGCATGAGTTGCATGTGGAGCCTAGTAGTGATAATTTGCATGATTATCAACTTGCTAGAGATAGGAGTAGAAGGGCTATCAGGAGAACTGCTGATAGTATGCCTGATTATGCTTTCATTGTGCATGATACTTCTATGTTTGCATTTTCTGTGTTTGAATCCCTAGAGCTGAATGAACCCAAGACCTACCGTGAAGCCTTAGGTTCCAAAGAGTCTCAGAAATGGATTAGTGCCATGAAAAGTGAGATGGACTCTTTGAGAGTGAACCAGACTTGGACCCTTGTACCTAGACCCCCCAACTGTTCGGTAGTTGAGTGTAAGTGGTTGTTTAAGGTTAAGGAAGAACCTAGTGATGTTAGGTTTAAGGCTAGGTTGGTTGCGAAGGGGTTTACTCAAAAAGAGGGGGTAGATTATGCAGAAATCTTTGCTCCTGTTGTTAAATTCACCACTATTCGTATGATGCTTGCTTTAGTTGCTCACCATGACTGGGAAATGAAACAGATGGATGTAACTACTGCATTTTTGCATGGTGAATTGGATAAAACAATTTATATGACCCAGCCTGAGGGCTTTGTGGATCCCAAGAGAAGTGAGCATGTCTGTTTGCTTAGGAAGGCTTTGTATGGCCTGAAGCAATCCCCTAGGCAGTGGAACATCAAATTTGATAAATGCATGATATCTTTGAAGTTCCAGAAATCTGTTTGTGATCATTGCCTGTATTTCAAAAATACTTCTTTTGTGCCTGTATTTTTGTTACTCTATGTGGATGACATGCTGATAATTAGTCCTTCTCTGAATGCTATTAAAGATGTGCAGAAATGTCTTTGTGCGAATTTTGCCATGAAAGACCTAGGTGATGCCAAGAGGATCCTAGGCATAAACATTGTTAGGGATAGGAGCAAGCGTACTCTTACTTTGAATCAGATTTCTTACATAGAAAAAGTTTTGAGTAAATTTAATATGTTATCTGCTTCTCCTGTTAATGTCCCTATGGCATCTCACTTTGTGTTAAGTAAGGACCAGTCTCCCAAGACTGCTCCTGAAATTGAGAAAATGAAATCTGTGCCTTATTCCAGCGCAATAGGGTCGGTGATGTATCTTATGGTTAGCACTAGACCTGATATTGCATATGCGGTTAGTTGCTTGAGTAGATATATGTCCAACCCTGGTTTGCCCCATTGGAATGCTCTTAAGTGGTTACTTAGATATCTGATTTCTACTGTGAAGCATGGATTAATTTTCTCTAAATGTGCTAGTGGTATTGAATTGATTGGTTATGTTGATTCTAACTATGCAAATGATAGAGATAACAGGAAGTCGACCACTTCTTATGTTTTTACTTTGTGTGGCTCTTGCATTAGTTGGAAGTCTCAACTACAGCCTATTGTGGCCCTTTCTACCACTGAGTCTGAGTATGTTGCAGCCACAGAAGCGTTTAAGGAAGCCATCTGGCTCAAACGCCTTGTCTCCGAAATTGGGTTTCTCAAAAAGGGAGTTACCATTTTCTCGGATAGCCAATCGGCTATCCAACTTTGCAAAAATCCTGTATTTCATGATAGAACTAAGCATATTGATGTTAGGTTCCATTTCATACGTGATATTGTTGATGCAGGTGGAGTCAAGCTGTGCAAGATCCCGTCGGAGTTTAACCCCGCGGATATGGGTACCAAGTGTCTTTCTGCTGAGAAGCACTTGTCCTGTAAACGCGTGTTAAACTTTGATTGTGGATAACTGTGGGTTGCCTAATAAAGTGTTTGCCCGTTGTGTCTGTTGATATTCCGGGTGACCCGGCGATGATGAGTCTTGTCACAACCTTGTATTGATACTCTACACCACCTAGGACCAATAAGGTGGAGAATGTTGGAGGTATTGGTCCTACCAAGGCCTCCCTTCCATTTTATTTGTTGAGGCTTGCACCCTATTGTTTTACTCCCACTTTGGTACCTTTACCTTGGTATTTTATCTGATCAATAACATACCTATTTGAGGGTTGACTTACCCACTTGGCTGGCCCCTCTGTGTTCTGTCCGCTGCATACTCCATTTGTCTTGGTCTTGCTTGTGACTTTCCTTTGTCTAAGATGCATGTGAGTGTCTTTTGTATTGACCTCACCCGTGACTTCCTTGGCAGCCTATTAATAGTCTTTGCTTCTTCCTTGTGAGCCTCAGCCTGCGAGAAACACTTCTATTGAGAGCAGTGCTCCCTTCTTCTTCTTTCCTTTGTGTGAGAGCTGAGAGAGGTCCTAAGTGGAGAGTCAAAAATAGAGTTGTGTAGTAGCTTCCTCCTAGTGTGGTGTATGTGAGTAGTGTGTAGAAAGACCTGAGCCGGAGACGGAATCCATACCTTACAATATTATTATACACAGAAGCACAGAACAGTTTGTTTTGTTAGAATATTTTACAGAAAAGTGCTCCTTGGGAACCATTTTCCAAGAAAACGTTTTCTAGAACAAGTTAGGGGTATTTGGAGCTGATTCTAAAACTGCATCTGCTTCCTAAAGTTGGAGTGTTTGGTAGAAGTGAAGAAGTGATTCTGATACTCTATTTTACTCCTAGAATCAGTTTTTCTAGAAGCTGGGGGAGACTAGCTTCTGAAAACTGATTCTGATTCTGCTTCTGCTTTAGAAAAAAAAGCGGTTACAAACACCCCTTAAGGAGTGTTTGCAATTGCTTCAACTTTAAAGAAGTGATTTTTTAAAGTGATTTTGGAAAAAATGATTAATAGTAAAAGTTGGTGGTGTTTGAGAAAAAAGTGATTCTGAAAAAGTAAAAGTTGGTAGTGTTTGGTAAAAAAAGTATTTTTTGTGTAATAAAAAAAGTGAAAAGCAGTTTAAAGCACCCTTCCACCTGCTTCCAGTTTTTAACTTTTAAGTGATTAATTTAAGCAGAAGCTGTCATTTGAAAACACTCTTTTTAACCTTTTTTAAGTCAAAAGCTGAAAAACACTTTTTTTAATCAACCGCAAACACTCCCTTAGTTTACTTCAAACAGAGCCTCAGGACATGTTTACTTCACGGGTTACTAAACGGTGCTTACGAAGACTCGCGTTAATAAGCGGCACATAAAATAAGCAACGTTGTAAGATCATGTTTACTTCACAAGGTTTAAAACAGCGTTTAGCATTAAAATGTCCAAAATAACCCTATACATATATAGACACACAAACATTCATGAACACAAGTATTATGTGTACCTTACCCCACCCCAGGCCCCCGCCCCCTAGGCCCTTACCACCCTACCCCTACCCCCTACCACATCAGCCCCACCCCACCTAGCCCACCTAGCCCCCTACCCACCCCCAAAACCCTAGGCCCTTACCACCTACCCATACCCTACCACATCGGCCCCCTACCCTACTTACTCGACCCCACCCCTAGGCCCTACCCTAGCGGGCCCACCCCTGATCCCACCCTGTCCTACCCTATCCTACCTTACCCCGACCCCACCCCTACCCTAACCCCTTACCCCTAGGCCCTTTACCACCCTACCCCAACACCCTACCACTACCACATTGGCACCACCCTGACCCACCCTACCCCTTATCCTACCCCACCACCACCCTATCCCTTACCCTCCCCCACCACCACCCTACCCAACCCCAACACCCTACCACGTCGGTCCCACCTCCGACCCCACCCTATGTGGGGTAGGATGGCGGTAGGCCAGGATCTGGGTGGAGCCGAGGTAGGGGCGTCTGGTAGGGGGTGGGGTAGGGTGGTAAGGGGTTGGGGTTGGGGTTGAGATCGGGGTGGGGCCAAGATAGGGACAAATGGTGTATTGAGTGGGGTTTGGTCGTGGTTAGGGGTAAGGGTGGGATTGTGGGTAGGGTTAGGTCGGGTTGGGGTAAGGTAGGGTAGGGGTGGGCCTAGGGTCGGGGAAAGGTCAGGGTAGGGTATGGTCAGGAGTAGGGTAGGATAGGGTAAGGTGGGGTCTAGTGCGGCCGATGTGGTGAGGGTAGTGGTAAGGTGGTAAGGGCGTGGGGGTAAGGTGGTAAGGGGCCTAGGTTGGGTGTGGGGTGGGTGGGGTTGGGGTAAGGTGGGGGTAGGGTAGGGGTGGGGTCAGGACCGGGTGGGGCCGAGGTAGGGGTAAGGTATGGATTGAGGTGGGGGTGGGGTAGGGTCGTTGTAGGGAAAAGGGGTACGTGGGGTGGGGTAATGGTCGAGTAGGGGTAAGGTACGAGGATAGATGGAGGTAGTGGGTAGGGTGAGGTCAGGGTCGAGGTTGGGGTAGTAGGGTAGGGTGGGTAGGGGGTAACAATAAGGGTAAGGGCAATGGGTAAATTCAGAAACCAAAAAGCTTAAAGTGTCGCTTAATTAATACATGAGGGGTGATATGTTTAGTAAGCGGCACTTTAAGCACCTATTTCGGTTAGTAAGCGGCTTTAAGCAGCGTGCATGTTTACTTCATCTGTCTTACTAACCTAACTGTAACTTTAGCAGCGAAGTAAACGCCTCCTCAGTCATCCAAATAATTACTTCGTATATTGCATTATAAACGAGCTTGGTATAATTGGTAGCTAAGACATTCGCTGATCTGGCTCACAGTCACTCGTTAGATCCCAAATTTCGATTCTCCGTATTCACAGGAGGCCATGGCAAGGGGTTTCAGCGTTCCTTGGTGGAAGAAAATTCTACAAATGAAGTAAACAGGTGGGAAGCATGACGGCATCACTGTTATTGTTGGACAAGTGAAATGATGATGAAGAGCTGATATCATTTTTATAACAATGATTTTGGTTGTGCGTCAAGCCGTCAAGGGACAACTCTGTTGTGTTTGTGTTTCCTTGAGCATTGTATTTCCCACTCTTATTGTGAGTTAAACGTGTTTCCCCTAGGAGAAAATGAATCAATTGCAGAATTCTAGCCCAGCAACTGTATTTGTGCTTTATTTAAGAGACAAAAACTTAGGAATGATAAAGAGGCTATGGACATTTCAACAATCGACAACAACATGTTGTGCATTGTTTTGATCTCATACGTTCAAATTTATTATTGGAGAGACTTTGGGGTAAGGGAATTTGCAGAGGTGTTTGTAATTCAGATATATTGTGTTTAAGAATTGTGCATTCTTTATTTAAAAAATACAAACTAGAATGATATTAAAGATGAAGAGAAGGATTTTCTGTGTATTTCATTGAAGGGTTAAGATTCTATAAATATAGATTACAAAGATAGAATATTCCTATATAAGATGATATACAATAATAATAATAATATATATGGTACATTCCTAATATATTCTAAAGCATATTCTAAAGTATATTCTAAAGTATATTCTAATACACTTTCACACTCCCCTCAAGTTGGAGCATAGATATTTATCATGTCTAACTTGTGACATAAATAACCAACTCGAATTTCATTTAGTGCTTTAGTGAACAAATCTCTATATTGTTCCCCAGTCTTCACATATCATGTAGAGATCAGTCCTTTTTGTATCTTCTCTCGAATAAAATTACAATCAACTTGAAGACGGAGTGGTGCCTATAGGTTTTGAAGATTTTGGATTGAAATCTAAACTGAGATATGAAAAACTAAACTGAAATTCTGAAAAGAAAAATTAAACTGAAATGGAAGGCTCTGATACCATGTTGAAATATAAACTAGAATGATATTAAAGATGGAAAGATAGATTTTATGTGTATTTCATTGAAGGGTTAAGGCCCTATAAATATAGATTACAAAGATAGAATATTCCTACATAAGATGTTATACAATAATAATATCTATGGTATATTCCTAATATATTCTAAAGCACATACTAAAGTATATTCTAATATACTTTCACACTTTAATCCAAACTTTTGGATTGAGCAATTGGTAGTGATTTGCTAGAATGCTGTTTTAAATTGTTTAAAAACATACTCCATAAGTTTTTGGTCATGCCCTTTGACTCTTTGAGGCTTTGATTAGAAAACAGCAAACAAAAAAGGTTCAAATCAAGAGCGTTCTGACTTCTGAGCTTATCACAACTCCATCAAAACAACCCGTCAAACACTTCCAGGCTTATGATCTGTTTGGGTGGTGGTTTTTGGAAGGGTTTGGGAGAAAGAACTGGGAGTGTTGAACCTTTTATGCCATAAATATTGAAAGATTAAGGATGTTTTTACTTGGACTGTAATTTGCTGGTCTGGTCTGGTCTGATCTAGGGATGGACCCGGGCCGGGCCGGTTCCGGTTCTGGGCCGGGCCCGGGCGGGCTTTTTTTCGGGTTACATGGGCCCGGAACCGGCCCGGGTTGATACCGGGTCCGGGCCTAACCGGGCCGGGCCGGGCCGGGCCCGGTTCAATGTTTTTTTGAAAGAGTACACTTGTCTACTAATTAAATCAAATACATAAGAAGACCTACAAAGCCTTCCCGTTCAAAGTTCAAACCCCATAAACATCCTCCATTCTAACTTGTCCTCGGTGTTTCGCTTGCAATAGTGTTTCTAGAGCCGAACATGCTTAGCCAAACACCACATATAGATCACAAGTATAAGGATAATGCAGCTTCTAAATGAGGTGATGATGAAATAAGAGTATTGTTATTGTAAGGGATAAATAAAATATAATATTTCTCTCGTAAATAAACAGAACTGGTAGCCAATGAAAAGCCCAAGACAGCCAGACTCCCACCTACTCTATCCGGGTGTGCGTTTACAAATTACAAATGCCAAAAGAAAAAGGCCCAGATGGTCTGTTGCCGTGTAACATACTCCTGGGAGTCGGGGGCAGATTCACATCTAGCTCCACAAAATTTCATCTATTACTGACTTTTGAGATAAACTTATTGTAACTCTTACAAATACACTTCCTCTACATCACTACATGACATTTGCCACAGGTTGGATACCCTAATCTCATCTCCCGTCATCCTAGTGGCCCCACAATGGCTGGGACAAACACCCGAGGTGCAAATGACACAAACAGCCAATGACTGCTCTTCGGGGGGGTTCTCAGGTAGCATTTCTGCGGTTAGTGGTAGTGTTCAAATCTTGAAAGAATGATTTAGAAGCTTCATATGTGGACCAACATATTGCAGCTGCTGGAGCATGGAAGAGCATCCTTGGCATCCAACCCCTCATCAGTCCACTATACCCATCTTTCTTTACGATGGTTTTGAGCACATCACTAATTGAACTATTTTTAAATCTGTCACATCCACATACGCCCTACACACAACAAAAATCCAAGTGAGATTAGCAACTACAAATACAAATTTCAAAAGCTTATACATTAAGGCTGCACTTGTTAATCCCTAGAAAGGAAAAATATGCTGGAATTGTGGTTGAATCTGTTTAAGTTCCTAACATATTCTGACTAATTCTTTTAAATAAATATTACAGATACTTATTAAATACTCTGTTAGTTTAAAGAAAATAATGACTAAAACGGAGTTTGAAGTACCATTTTCATTTATTTCAGCCACCTTTTCCAAAAAGAGACTTTTGACCACTTTTCCCATTGCAAGGTCATCAGCCAAAGCAATGACAGTAAGTGTTTGGTTAAAATATATACGGAGTAGTTTATAAGCTAAAAAATTACCAAATTGACACTTAATGCATAGTTCAGGGTAAAAGTGACCACATAAGGAGAAGATAGAAGTATACAACTAAAAATGTGAGTTCGAAACTTCATATCACACATCTCAGACATCGTGAAGAGACTAAAGAGTTAGTGGCCAAGTGCAGGTGTTCTTTTGGTGGTACAAAATAGAAGATAGAAACGTTTTGAGGATAGGAGTTTTCATTTACAGCCTAATGGAACAAATTCTTTACGTTGAGTCTTTGACAGTAAACAACTTAGGCTTACTCATAACTACTCATCAACTCCTAATATTGACCCTGCTTTTTATTCAATTTCCCATACCTATATACATTATGGCAATCATAAATATTCATAGCTATCATAAGTAAACAACTTTCAACTTCAGACCATTCACACTGCAACCAAAATTCCATGATAACCTGAATGTGTGACCTGGTAGAACCAAACAAATGCGAACTTTTTAAGTATCTGTTCAGAAACTCAAAAATGCTAGGTAAAAAGCAGGGACAAAAATATAGGTGATTTTTGGTAGCAAAGAAAATGGGAGGACCAACATTTGTTTACAACATTAGACCCTATGAATTTATTTTTGACAATTGTATAAACTAGTTTTATTTAATAATTTAGTAGCACAAAGATTAAGGTATCTAATCTTAACATGCATTAAAAAATATTAACAATTAATAATACATCAATTTAATATGCAGATTTTGGGGCAAAACAAATACGCGAAAAAAAAAAAAGTTTTCTTAGCATTTTTTATTTCTCTAGTTTTAAAGGGATCCAAACATTCACTAAATGAACAATGGAACCCTAACTCTCCTATGATTTGTTTGTTTGAACAAAAGGAATTAGAAAATAAGCAATTCTACCAAAAACCTTGTGGTTTAGGACCATCAGTACATCACTATTAGAGGAGGTCACTGATTTGAGACTCATCCCAGTCTAGGACTCCGGGTCAGCACAATTATTGACTACAAACGATATACACTAGACATTTACCAAACAAAACAATGCTTTACTAGTAAGCCAAAATCCATCACAGCTATTGTTGCTTTTTTAAGCTGAGAGAAACTAACAAGGTGAAATTTAGCTACCTCATCATCAATCCATCGGTGTAGAAAACGAGTAGCAAAAATCTTCCCAAGGTGCAAATTAATTACAGCATTGCAAATTGAAGATGAATAACAAGGAATAAAGTAATACCTGACACTGCACAATTATTGACTAGAAACTATTTACACTAGAGAATTTACCAAACAAAACGATGCTTTACTAGTAGGCAATCACAGCTATTGTTACTTTTAAAGCTGATAACTAACAAGGTGAAAGTCATCAATCCATCAGAGTAGACAAGGAGTAGCAAAAATCTTTAAAAGGTTCAATTTTATTACAGCATTACAAATTGAAGATGAATAAAAAAGAATAAAGTAATGCCTGACACTGCACAATTGTTGACTAGAAACTATTTACGCTAGAGAGTTCACCAAACAAAATAATGCTTCACTCTGGGTCAGCATAATTATTGACTAGAAACTATTTAATCTAGAGATTTTACCAAACAAAACAACGCTTTACTAGTAAGCAACCACAGCTATTGTTTCTTTTATGCTGAGAAAAACTAACAAGGTGAGAGTTAGCTACCTCATCATTGATCCATCTGTGTAGACAACGCGAAAACCCTCCCAAGGTGCAATTTTTTTACAGCATTACAAATAAAAGATAAATATAAAAGAATAAAGTAATACCTGACACTGCAGCTGAGTTTTAACCACATCAAGTGGCGTTGTAAACAAGGCAGCTGAAACCCCAGCAGCCGCCCCTGCAGTAGCGTGTGCTACTAACCGTTCATCACTTGCAATCTCAGGCGAAACTTCTAACAAACCTCTCTTTGCCGCCTCATAAGTAGCAAAATGCACTGCTGTGAATGGGGCATTCATCAACACAGTTGTCTTGTAGGAAGCATAAAAAGCACGAACCCCTTCCTCTCTCAAAACCACCCTCACGCAATCCATCACCCCCTTGTACTGGCTGCTGCTCAGTTGGAGCCTCTGTTTCACCATATCCATCGGCGTGAAGACTGCGTCGCTGGCAACCGTAGCGCACACGCCGGATGCGGCATGGGCGGCGGGGTTATTTGGATTTCCACGGGAAAATGACTCTTTACATAACTCATAGACGGAGAAGTAGACCGCGTGTGCTGGCCCGGCACCCAGACCCATAGCTCCTATTCCGCGGTAAAGCCCACGAACGCCGTCGGATTTCAGGATGGACTGAAGGGCCTGGCGGACGCCGACGGATTTGATTGGGCAACACACTAAGGCTTGCATACGGGTCTTGACCGTATCGATTGGGAACATGGCCATATGCTCCACCATGCCGGCTACTGACCCCGCGACCATGAACTGCCAGGAGTGGAGGCCGTCGTGAGCAGGCAAAACGAGGATCTCCGGGTGATAATCCGGCGGTTGCGGGATCGGTATGAGGTCCGGCTGCTGAAATTTGGCAGTTGCATCGGTGGCGGTGGCCATAGGGAAAATTACGATACGGAGCCGGGTCCTGATAGGAAGTCAGCGGACGGATTATGGTAATAGAGATAACCTTGAACGGCTGAGGTGAAACTGATAGATGTCCACGCTGGTTTAGGATTCAGGAGATGCTGGGATTGAGTGAATGCGAGCGATTTGGGGGAAGAGAGAGTGATTATGATCAATCACATTTGGAAGGTTTCTTCGTAAGTACGAAGATTTGGTTTAGGGTTCCAGCCTCCAACTTTGTGGGGGATTGGAATAGGGGTGGGTAAAAATACCGAAAAATCGGTATACCGCACTTACCGTACCGAAAAATACCGGAAAATACCGAAATATTGGTATACCGTCATTTTCGGTACGGTATCATACCGTACCGATCTATTTCGGTACGGTAATGGTAAATGTTTTCAAATACCGCGGTATACCGGTATAATACCGTACCGACTCCCTACTCAACAATTACTTTTAATTCTAATATATTGTAAAAATCCATTACAATTTTGAAGCCCAAAATTAATACTTAAGTTGGTTACAAATACAAAAATACAAAAATAAAGGCTCAATTTCTCAAACCCACTATAACCTTATAGACTTCTACTACGCTAACCTTAATGACTAATGAGTAATGTACAAATGTCAAGAAAAAAGTTCATCTTGTTCCAAGAGCTTGCAAGTCGTGATGACTAGGCCGCTAAGTAGCTGACGAGTGAAGAGAGATACACTTATATGATAAGTGTATCTACATAGGGATTTCGCGAGTCGAGACACAAAACTTTGTCCGAAAGTCTAATTCAATTTTTAAAAAAATTATAAAAATGACTAAATACACAATATCATATTAGGAATAAATGATTTTATATCCATGTTGTTTGAATAGTTTTATTTATTCTTGTTAGAAATCACTATTGATTTAATTATATCCATATTGTTCAAGTTATTTTAGAAGAATGTGTTACTTTTTAATATGTTGCATGTTGAACTGCATAAATATACTAATAATAATTATTGTTTAATATTGAATTGACATCAATAGATTATTAATTGTACCTCGTAACACTTTAATAATGGATTTAATATGTCGCTAGTAATAACGATTTAGTATATTTCGTTAGTCTATGATAATTTTTTGTATTGGGAGACATGCACGGTAATTTACCGATACCGTACCGTTACCGAACCGAAACTTCGGTATACCGAAATGCGGTATACCGAAACTTCGGTAAGGTAAAGGTATGCAAATTTTGCATACCGAAAGTTTCGGTACGGTAAAGGTATGAGAAAAAATATAAGGTATACCGTACCGAACCACCCCTAGATTGGAATGGGTAAAGGTCTAAAGGATACTCCGTATTATTGAAATCAAATTTTCTCATTTACAATCAATTTAGGGAGCGGAAACAAAATTGAAGTGTTTGGATAAAAGTGCAGAATAATTTTGGTGCTCTAATTACTCCTAGACCCAGTTTTTTAGAAGCTGGCGGAGACTAGTTTCTGAAAAATGATTCTGGTTCTGTGTTAAAAAAGAAGCCGAAGCAGAATCAGTTTCAAACACCCCTTAGTCCAATTCCATTGAGAAAAAACACAAATAAGCTCTCTGATTATTTGAGATTATGCAACTAGGTCCATGAACCGAAGGACTTCTACATACACCTCTTTGGATCACTGAAATTTAAGCAATCAGATCCATTTTTACCTGATAGTGCAGGTCGTTCTCATCTCGTTACTTGCACCAATAGGTAAAAAAGGATCTGATTGCTTAATTTTCAATGAGTTGAGGAATATATTTGTAAGTCTTCTGGTTAATGGGCCTAATTGCATAATCGCAAATAATTAGAGGACTTATTTTTCCTTTTTCTTGATTTAATCTAATTAAATCTGACATAGTCTCATATGATCTGGTTTTGGACCAAAATAAGTTTAATTAAAAACGTTCTAAAAGTTAAATCAAATTAGAGTATTCATAATGACAAATTATATGGTACAGCCGGCTGTACCTAGAGCATGGTACAGCCGGCATTTTTGTAATTAATTGCATTTCATTGGCTAATAGTTAAATTATTGCTATCTGTTATTCTTTCTTTCCGCTGCACTTCCCGTTAATTTCATTTGTTGATAGCAGGTTGACGGTGACCGTGTCTTTGCTGATTGTTCGATTACTTTCCGCTGCACTTCCGTTATTCTTTTTTCGTACGTAGCTTTTAGTTCGTGTTCTCTTTCTTTCGTTTTCTTTATTCTTTTCTTTTGAAAACTTTTTACTTTATTTTTTATTATTATTTAATTATGATAAAAATGTATAATATAAAATATTAGCAAATGTTCAATTTTTTTTTCTTTTATTCAGTCAACCTTCTAATGTTAGTTTTTTGTAATTTGTGTATTATAAATATTTTAAAAAGTATTAATGTTTTGTTTTTCTATTTTTGATTTTAATAAGATGAATATTTATTAATTTATTTTATATTGTGTGTTAATGACTAACATGAGTTTTGTGTTATACTAAAATGAGCATAGTGTCAAATACATATGCATGAGAAAATATTATAAATAGAAAACGATTATATTTGTATTTCAAGAACAAAAGGTTATATTTTTTTTAATACTCCCTCCGTTCTCTAATACAGTGAAGTAATACTTGTCTCTCTTTCCATTTTGGGTTGTTTTCTAATATTTGTCTCTCTTTCCATTTTTGGAAAGTTTTTTCTATAAATATACTCATTTACCCTCATTCTCTTTTCTACCTTTTCATTCTCTTTCCTACCTTTTCATTTAAACACAACTCACTACACCTTTTACACTACCCCTATTACTTTTCTCTTAAAACTTGTGTCAAACCCTATAGGGACAAGTGGACAACTAATGGAGAACGGAGGGAGTATAAAATTATTATATTTCTCATTATTATATATATTGATAGTTCATTTATTGAATTTTTAATAACGAATCTACTAGATATACATATTATAGAGACACATTTATGTTATATTCGAATGAGTATAATGAATAAAAAATGAGCACACACAATGAATATTTGCGCACATTAGAGATTTCAAATGAGTTTTTAAAAATTTTGATGCTCATTTTGTTTATTATGTATGCTCATATGTGGTAATATTATGCTCATTTTAAAATGACATATCAATGCATATCAATGCTCATTTTATAAGTTACATATGCTCATTGGGTATTGATGTTATGCTCATTTTATAATGTCATCTCGATGCATATTTCAAAAGTATCATATTACATTAGATTCATATATTGAAGTTCATGAGTTGATTATGAACATAATTTAATGAGTTTTTATAAAAGAAAAAATAAAAAAAGAAAGTGAATTACAGTATATAAAGTTGACATCACAATGCTCATTATTCGACTCTTAATGCTCAGTAGAATACTTCTGATGCTCATTAAAAGTGTATATATGAGCACTGACCATGAGACTCAATTGCATTTGTTCAATACTCAATAGATGAGTTTTAATGCTCAATAAAAATGTATTGAAGTTCAACTAAAAAATTTACGGTTTATACTCATTTTGTAAGTTACGTTTGTTCAATTTGTACTCATATTATGCTCATTTTTAAAATGTCATATTCATGCAAATTTTAATGCAAATTTTAAAAGTTGCATATGACATTGGATTCACATTGTTAAGATCTTAATACTCAAATGAATAAGTTCGATGCTCATTAAAAGTGTTTTAATTATCATATCAATGCATTTTTTAAAGTACTATTTTACATTAGATTCACATATTGAATTACATATTGAATTTCATAAGATTTGATTATAAATATAATTTATTAATTTTCTTGTAAAAAGAAAAAGTAATAAAAAGAAAGTGACTTAGAAGGTATGCGGCAGAGATCACGATACTGAATATGAGACTTCTAATACTCAACATAATAGGTCTGATGCTCATTAAACGTTCATTATTGCTCATTCAGAAGAAACGGTGACTTTCATCTCAATAACCAAGGTTTGATGCTCAATTAAAATGTCATGGTGTTCAACTAACAAAGCAACTAACAAATTCACTAATACTCATTTTGTGAGTTATGTATGCTCATCTGGTACTGATCTTATGCTCATTTTGTAAATGTCATATCAATGTCATAAATATAATGTAGTAAGTTTTTATAAAAGACAAAATAACAACAAAGAAAGTGAATTAGAAATTATGAAGCAGAGATCACGATTCTAAATATTGGACTCCTAATACTCAATATAATAGGTCTGCTGCTCATTAAAGGTTCATTAGTGCTCATTTACCAGAAACGGTGATTTTATCTCGATAGTGGAGGTTTGATGTTCAACTAACAACTTACGATTTAATAACAACAAAGAAAGTGAATTAGAAAATATGAAGCAGAGATCACAATTCTAAATATTAGACTCCTAATACTCAACATAATAGGTCTGTTGCTCACTAAAAGTTCAGTAGTGCTCATTTTTCTGAACCATCTTTCAATTGTTTTATACTAGTACTTTTCTTTAATTCTGAGTCTTTTGTTGTTTTCAATAAAATGTACAATGGGGGTTGGAGTTGTGCAAAGAGCACATGAAAAACTAACTATAGCTAGAGATAATGATAGCTATTTAGTGTCTCACCACTTCTCAAAATATGAGAGCTATGTACTTCGTACAAAATAACAAAAACGAAGAACGGGCTTATTAGAAACCTAACAATATATAATGAGCATTAATGAGCATAATGTGCATTAGACCTATTATGAGGATTAAAACACTTTTGATGAGCATCGGGTTTATTAGAAACTTAACAATATATAATAAAATTATAAATACATTTATATAAATTAATTAATAGTACGATTCATAGATTAAATAAATACTTCGTTTGAATTAGTTTTAATATAGTAATAATGAGCAAAAACAAAGAATAGTTAATATTGTAATTACTATGAATAAACAATTGTAGTAGGGAGTATGAAAACATGTAGGCTAAGTAAAAAAAAGGACGGATATTTACAAAGAGACAAGCAGCCGAGATGGATGGAGTGCTGCAGACTATATTTGAAGTCCAGGGATCGATTCCCGATGGCGTTTATTCTTTTTTCCTGAAGGAATCCAGTTCCCAAGTCCGGATTTAGTCCTAAAAACAAATTTAGCCATTTTAAAAAACCGGATGTACGTACTTACTTTGTTCTTTTCTAGTTTCAACATTCAGACTCAGTTTACTAAACTAGCACAGATATTTTTTCATTTTTTCAGAAAACTGGAAAATTGGAAAATGAAAACAGAAAATGTGTTTACCAAAAAAATTGCTGAAAAACTCGAGAAGTGAGTTTTAGTAGTTTTCCAAATTTGAAAAAAGCAGAAGTTGCAATGTCGCTACAATGAATTTTCATACTTACACCTAGTGGTGGATCCAGTCCCGCTCTAGTGTCAGTTCCAGACCGGTCCGGTTAACAACCCGACGATCGCTATCTGGTCCGGTCAATGGTTTGGTCTGATATGGTCTTGTCAATGACTCGACGGTCCCCGTTCGGTCTGGTCAATGATCCGACGGTCCCCGTTTGTGCGGTCTACAACCTGGCATTCTTTGTTCAGTCTGATCGACAACCAGGCAGTCTTGAGCCGGTCTTGTCAACGACCCGGCGGAACCTGTTCGAGCTGGTCAAAGACACAACGGTTCGGTCTTGGTTTTTTGAAATCATTTTTTGAAGTAAAGAGTTTTAAAAGAGGCGTTGAGTTGTTAACCGATAGGGAAATGAGAAAAGAATTAGGATGTTTTATTTTGGACAGAAATTTGTCGGTCTGGTCTAATCTGGTCTAGTCTGAACTGGTCTGGTCTGATAAATTTATGGTCTCTGTGTATTTTATAACTATGGAAGTTTAGTCTGGTCTGATTTGGTCTGGTATGAGACTGAAAACAGTCCATTAGAAAACATCCTTAGTCAAACTAACCGTTGAGATTGATCGAGATCGTCCGATTTTGGTCCTGACTTTCCTATATGTGGGACGTGGTACTCTACCTTGGTTGTACTAGGTTCGGTTTCGGACTGGGATGTACTTTCGATCTTCTGGTCGGTCACAGAATCGGGTGAAAAAATTTGATCAACATGTTTTCAGATTTGAAAATGGAAATCTAAAAAATGAAAACAAAAAATTGGAAATTGAAAAACTTGAAAATGAAAACAGAAAATTGGAGGACAGAAAACAGGAAAAAATATCTCTATTAGTCAACAGGCCCTCATATTTGCATGCTTGCCAATGACGAATTCAGATTTGATTGTGATTATATTTAATTCTCTATTACGAAAAATGTAAAAATCAGATTGTGAAAATTTGTAATGAGACGAATTCAACAGTTTTTTAAAAAAATATTATTTTCATGCATTAATAAATAAAACGTAGTCAAAACAGAATACATGAATAGTGCAAAATTTTTCATTTTACAACTAAAAAGAAAGGAAAGATAGTACTACGTAACATTTTCAATTGTCCCATTTATGATTGGCCACTTGCATTACACTTGTATTGTTCAAGTTCCGGCAAAATATACCGTACACCCGGTTGTACAGTCCTCACCATACAACCGGGTATTTTTGAAATTAATATCAACTTCTCCCAGTCCATCGTCCGCCTCTGCGCTGCCCCTATTCCTTCTCCCAGGCCATCGTCGAGTCTGCATTTTCCATTTTTCTTTTTTTGCTTTTCTGTTTCCTTGCTTTTCCGATTTGGTGCTGCTAATCTATTACACGTTTTTCTCTTTTGTCTTTTCTGTTCTTCTTTTCTTGCATTTACTTTTTTCCTTCTTTAGTTCTTTCTTTTTCTTAATTTTTTATTTATTTTAATCTTTATTCAATTATAAAATATTTTAGATATTAATGTTTTGTTTTTCTATATCTCATTTTGTAAGTTACATATGCTCATTTAATATTCATTTTATGCTCATTTTAAAATGTCATATCAATACACATATGAATATTGAGCACATATTGAGCACAATAGAAATCAGTTTTATGTTAAATTTAAATGAGTATAACGTCCAAAATGAACGAACACACAAAAATGGGTTTTTAAATTTTTTTATACTCATTTTGTAAGTAATGTATGCTCATTTGGTACTGTTTTATACTCACTTTAAAAGGTTGCGCACTTCAAACATATCATACTGCATTAGATTCACATTAGAAATGTGTTTTATGTTCATTTAACAGAAATCATTATTTCCATCTCAATAGAGGAGGTTTGATGCTCAATGAAAATATCATGATTTTCAACTAACAAACCAACTAACAAATTCATTAGTGCTCATTTTATTAGTAACATATGTTCATCTGATACCGATCTTATGCTCATATAGTAGACTCCTAATACTTAACGTAATAGACCGGATGCTCATAAAAAGTTAATGCTCATTTACAAGAAATTGTGGTTTTCATCTCAATAGCGGATGTTTGATGCTCAATTAAAATTTCGTGATGTTCAACTAACAAAACCTTACGATTTTCACATCAATGTACATTTTGTAGCTATGTATGCTCATTTAGTACTGATGTAATGCTTATTTTTACCATGTCATATCAATGCATATTTCAAAAGTATCATATTATATTAGACTCGCATATTTGAAATTAATAAGAGTGGATTATAAATATAATTCAATAAATTTTTATAAAAGAAAAAAAAATAAGAAATAGAAAGAGAATTAGAATATATGAAACAAAGATCAGGAAACTCATTGTTAGCCTCCTAATACTCAATAAAATAAGTTGGATGCTCACTAAAATTTCATTATTGCTCATTTAACGGAAGCTGCGATTTTTCACTTAAATTACAAAATTGCCAGCGCAAAAAATTTGGCGTGTATTGGTTGTTGGGTTGTCTCCCTTAGTTGGGCCGGGTGTACTGTCTACGTACACCCGGTGGTATGATATACGGATACTCAAGTTCCCTGCTTGAGTAAAACTAATATGCTTGGCTGCTTGCAACGGTTAGTTGCAGTAATACTGTGCATATTAGTTTACTTAGTAATCTGGTTTAGTTGATAATATGTGCGTGATTAATTGAGCTATTCCTGTTGAATTTGTAAAACTAATGAGTTAAACTATTGGTTGAACTAACCCAAAAACTAATACTAATTTCATGTATTGATTATATTAGGAGATTTTTTCACTCTAATATAAAACAGTAAATGAGATAAGATCATACATAAAACAACAAAAAATATAATAAACATTTCAAGCTAATAAGATCATCTTTAAATAATCAAAACTCCTTATAAAGATGAAATATCTGAAAATATAAATGAACGTTAAAACTTAAATCCATGTCCGTATTGGACATAACCTGAATAATCCGTAGATTGTCTACGGGTTCCTCTGACATAAGTTTTTTCTCTGTGTTGTGAGAAAAAATCACATCTTCAAATAGATAACAATGATTTTATTGAAAATAGATTATAGATACAATCCGACCGATGCTAGCACAGATTGTTCTATGAGATGTCATTGATGAAGGCATCAATGTTCAAATCAGAGGAACCGCCTTTCTTAACTGAGTTTTGACATGTTTCTTGAACCATCTTTGCTCTCCTCCTCATCTCCTTCATGTCATCATCCTCCAAATCCATGAATCTCCTCAACAGCCCACATATCTCATCCCTCATGACCAAACTTCCATCTCCTTTCTGCACCTTGACCCCGATCTTCCATACCCCGACAATGAGCTCGCTGTTTGTGGTCTGGTCCCAAAATATAGGAAACGTGAGAACCGGGATGCCCGCAAAGGCAGCTTCTTTCGTCGAGTTCCAACCACAGTGTGACCAAAACCCGCCCACAGAAGGATGACACAAGACCTTAAACTGGTCACACCAGGGCACAACCAAACCCCCCTCACCATTTTGTCTTTGAAACCGAGAAGTGTCTATGCCTCCTCCAGGTGCGACCCATAGATACTTAACCCCACTCTCATGCACGCCAGCTATGATCTCATCCAGCTGAGCGCTCGAGACTGATAGGAAGCTCCCTTGTGATATGTACAGGACAGAGCTTTTCGCCTGAGCGTTTAGCCATTTGATGACATTGTCTGATTCTTGATCCTCATTAGCAATGACCTGAGAGAGTTGTTCTTGGGTGCCAAAGTTAGGGATGGCAGGGCCTATTGGGTGGATGGGGATGGAGAGGTTTTCCCTTAAAGCGTCGATAGCGGAAGCTTCGAGTTCATAGACAGAAGTGAATAACAGGTATTGTGCTTTAGGGACCATAGAGAAGGCTTTAAGGACATCATCTATCAATTCTTTGCCTTTGCCAAAAACAGGAGTGGGAAGATCTGAAACTTTGATTGGTGCAACTCCAGGAAGATAGTTTACTACCTCTGTATTAGGTAAAATGTGAAGTTTTCAAATAAACCGGAACCCCCTTTTGATCTCTTTGGCAGCAAATTATTTTTTATCATGCATACAAGTTTCACCATTGCTATTCACAGTTTCCCTGAATTTTAAGCCCACTCTCCTCCCTTACAATAACATTGTCAATAACAATGAACAAACTAATTATATTCATCACAATACTATTTGCAAATAACTATACTAATAAGTAATAACAAACAATACTAGTACGAAATAACGAATTGAGAGTAGTATAAAAATTACAATATACGGAGTAAATATCAATTTGAAATACAGCCAATGTTTGAAATATAGATACTAGAATCAATATTTTGATGTACTATATATTTATGTATGTATAATACGGAGTATAATAATGCATATTTGTGATGCCTACAAAAATGATACAGTAAGAGCTAACGAGACATTTGGAGTTGAATCAGTTAATTATTGACTAAATTGATAAATAAAATATAAGAAAATTGTTGAGTAAAAACAGCTTGATTTTCTTATACACTGCACTATGTTTTTCCTGAACAAGGGTAACTAATTTGATTCTCCAAACATATTGGGTGTCTTTGTCATTTAGCAGTTCATTGTTAGCCGATTATGGGGGTGTTTGGTAAATAACGTTTCAGCCAAAAAATGATGGTTTGATCACTTTTAACGTTTTTAAGAAGTGAAAACGTTTGGTCAATTGTTGTTCGGCACTAGTGTTTTTGGACAGAACCGCTGGAAACACTGCAGATAAGAGAGTTTTGAGTTATCGTTTTGAAATATGACATTTTCTACTAATTTTGTGGCTAAACTCCTAAATTACCAAACATCTTCTGACAACCCGCCAACTTACTCCGTTAGTTAACCCTGCTATTGACAACCCGTTAACATAAATACATAATCCACCAAACACGCCCTATGTTAGCAGATTGTTAATAGCGGATTCAATCAACAGGTTGTTAATAGTGGAATAAGTTGGCGGTTTTTAAAAAGATGTTTGGAAATTTTGATCATAGCAATTACTAGAAATTGTAGTATTTCAAAATGTTAATCTGAAACACTAGTAGCGTTTCCATTTCATCACATCCATCCAAAAAGACTAGAGCTGAAAAGCTATTTACGAGACAATGAAAACGCTAAAAGGGACCAAACCAGACACTTTTTGTTGAATCGCCATTTTTCAAATACCCCATTATGTCATAATTTGGGATTGTAAGAGTAGTAGAGTACTTTGCTAATTGATATATACCATTTTTATATTATTATTTCAGGAAATTTTCCATAAAAAATAGTGGATTTAGTTTCAAATTTGAATCTTAAAATACTTATTATTTAATGCTATGATCATCTTAAAATACTTATTATTTAATGTTATTATTAATGTTTTATCCATCATTTGCAATGGAGCCAAAAATTCATTATTTTTTGGCTTGAGAATATGATGAATAAAGCAAGATGGCTCACCAAACTGTCTGCGCTTCTTTCTTATGAAGCAAAAGTCAGTCCATGCAATTTTTTCACAATGGATCATCAGGAAACAGTGCTTTAATACAGGGTAAGACTGCGTACATCCGACCCCTTACCCACAATAGGTGAAAGCCTTGCGGCGGCTGGGGTAAATGAAAATGAAATGAATAATGACATTTGTATAATAATAAAAAGTTAGGACAAATTACCTGATAAATTGGGATTATTGGTGTGGCCCCTCTGAACAAGAAGATCCCAGTGCTGAAACACGGAAAACACGGTGGCCGACATGGTATAAAACGAAGCCACCGGGATATTCTTCCGGATCCCTAGCGACACCACCCAAGGCAAGTAGGTATCGTGTAGAATCACATTCGGCTTAGGTGACTCCAGCCTGTCCAGAAGCTCCTCCACCGGCGCTTCCAGCTTGGTCTGGGTGGCTCTGTAGAAGCCCGGAAAGTCCTTCGCTCGGCCGATTTCAGACGGGATGACGTCGGGGACGGTGAGGAACCGGATGTTTTCCGGGGTCGGGTCAGAGCGGATGAATCCGTACCACTCCTGAGTGAGGATGAAGGTGAACAGAGTGTGGGGGCGGCGGGCGGAGATGAGCTTGCAGAGGTTCATCATTGGGTTGATGTGGCCGCGGCCGGGGTACGGCATCGCCACCACATGACACTCACTTCGAGCTTCCATTCTGGCAACCGTCGGTCGCCTACAACTTTCCTAAAAATTATCAAGTGACTGTCTGACTGAACAAGCCATACACAAGGCCGGTCCTAAGAATTCTAGGACCCTGTGCAAAGAAAAAAAACTGGGCCTTTTTTTAATGTAAAGAGAAACCAAATGTATTTACCTAATGACTTAATATCATTTTTTTTAACCAGACTTAATATCAATTTAGTCAATGCAAATGCAAAAATATTCCTGAGTGTTTACTTTTACACTTTGTTGTCTCGTCAGTTGTCTTGCTGTTAAAATGCCCAATGGCGTATTCAGAAAAATTCGTGTGGTGGGGAAACTTGCCTTAGATATTATCTCACGAATGTCAATCAACTAATCCATTAAAAAAATTGTAAAGACAAACATAGATAACAAAATATTCACTAGACAAAGTCATTATAATATCATGCTTAAAATAAATAATTTTCACTTTGTTACAAATCAATTTTAATCACATGTGTATGTTATTTTTTTCATGTTAAAAAATCTTTTTGAAAAGAAAAAAAATGTAATACAAATAAGTAAAGCCACTTTAAATGATTTAAGGCTTTGAAAGAGCAAAAGCAAAAAAAATAAAACGCTTGCACCAAGACTCGAACACAGGACCTTTTTGAAGCACTTTAACTTACATCCTCTCTTGGTTACCACTCTGGCAACGTAAAGTATTTGTTGTTTACTCGCATTTACTATATATAATATATTACTGCCAATTTATTTTGGGCCTTCAATTTTCATGGGCTCTGTGCCATTGCACAGCCTGCACCTGGCCTGGGCCGGCCCTGGCCATACAAATAAACAGCCTTTTGTATATTTTATAATGGGATAAAGGTCAGTTTTGTCCTCGAAGTTGCAAAAAATGAGTCAAATAAGTCCTTATATAGAAAATTTTGTTCGGACGTGCCATTTGAGGTGGCTCCCGGTAAAATTTTTTGATTAAATTTTTTGAGCATCTTATTCATCAAGTCTAGTTTACTCATACCAAATTTCAGATAAAAATTCAATCGGGGGACATTCAAATGAATTCTTGAAGATAACTGTGCCGTTAAAAGCGCAGTTATCTTCAAGAATTCATTTGAATGTCTCCCCGATTGAATTTTTAGCTGAAATTTGGTATAAGTAAACTAGACTTAATGAATAAGATGCTCAAAAAATTTCATCAAAAAATTCTACCGGGAGCCACCTCAAATGGCACGTTCGGACAGAATCTTCTATATAAGGACTTATTTGACCCATTTTTTGCAACTTCGAGGACCAAACTGACATTTTACTCATTTTATAATTACACTTGAATGCTCAAAATTGATGACATGGAATTGATTGGGTGATGTGGATAAGCTGATGTGGCGTCCTGCAATGATTATGAGGTGCCATGGCAAAAAATACCCTTATTTGAGAAATAAATTTGAAAAACACCCCTCCTTCGGAAAAAACTCTATTACATTCAGATGGTTACAACAAATTAAAATAGACCAACATTGACAATAATTATCCGTAATTAATTAACACTATTAACTCTACAACTAAACTTAGAAATAATCACTCTTGAAAGAGCAATATGAATCGCTAACCACCAAACGGGTGTGACACAACAATCACTAACCATATAGTATTATGTTTAATAAAACTAAATCGTTTGCTCGTCACCAAGCGACGTTTCAGTGGGGACCGTCAATATGTTCTCTCCCTTGCTCAGCCCTTCACCGCTCCCCGTATGCTCATCACCTGTGTTGCCTCCATTATTGAAACTGCCCTTCACCCATGTTGATTCGCCAAAAACCAACCCTTCGACCTCATCCTCAATTGCTGAAATGGACAACGTTGTTATCATCCATAGAAGTCATGGTTATTCTCGCACTTGATCAAAATGAAAAAGAAAATATGATCTGCAGAAGTGCGGCATCACGCCGCTCTCGTCAAAATTAGGAGAAGGTGGAACTTTGATAAACGCTTTTTTACGAAATGTGGACTGATGGCAAAGAGATAGAAAAGGGTTGATGATAGTTAATTAGTTGAGACTTGACACTTCAGAGAAGATGGGAGGGAAGAGTGGCTTTAGCAGTCTGGAGGAAAAGAACATGCCGACAATTAAAAAGTCGAATGACTAGGTGCCCGATAAGTCGGATGCGTGACTTAGGGCATCTCTAATGCAGAGGTCCATTGCACTTTCACATCATCAAATAAACCTTCTTAATTGAAATCTCCTCTCCAATAGAAAAAAAATGTGGGTCAAGTCTAGGTGAGTTGGTAAAAAAAAGGACAACGTCTTCTACAAGGTCTCTAGAGAGACCTTCAGTGCCACCCTCTCTCAATATTAGACTAATGATTGTGGGGTTTATGCATTGTTGACCACTTATTTGCTTTTACCTTTTTATTTATATTCTTTTTGCCTTTTTGCATGTACCTTTTCACTCCATGCATTGGAGTGATGGGTTAATAGACTCTCAATTTATAAATGTTTGGCCCACATACTAAATAGACGAAGTCTAGATTTTTGCCACATCAATCGCAATTCACCGCAAGCATTGGAGATGCTCTTATAACCCTAATTTCTAAGTAATCCCCATGTTACATGACTGACTAACGACTAGGTGGCGCCTAGATCAATTTTTAGAACACTGATATTGGAAAATGGCCGCTGTAGTTGGGACTATTCAGAAATAATGAACAGTTGAGATTATTATTATTTCAGTTTTTCTATAAAATTTTAGTCCAAATAAAAATATCAATCTCAAATTATCAAGTTATTTTGGTAGCACTTCACACATGGTGATTTTGACTTCAAAAGATTAATCTTGGGCTCTCAGGAACCGCCAATCGATCAAACACTATCAGGTTTTCAGTAAGAAGTTTATTTTCACGTTGTTGCTTACGCGAGACGAAGCGTTATTGTATGATCATTCGAGATAGCCCAGGGCTAGATGATCCTCATTTGATGAAAATCCTCTCAAATTCATCTCATTGATGACTTGAATCCAAGATCTCTAAAAAGGAGGGAATTTTAATTGTTGGAAGTGGACCACTTCGACCACTCTCACCTATATCAAATTTTAATTGTCTATTATTGATATGTGTAAATACACCTAATACTTTCTCATAATTTTGGTCTTTGTTTGTCAACTTTTAATATTTCCTATCATTTGGTTTTACATGTGCGATATTTTCTGTTGTAGGAACCACAAAGAGGATTTGAGTATTGTAGGGGTAAAAATGTAGCATTTTGAAGAGTCTTGGGAGCATAAATGGATGATTTATAATTTGAAGACCTCAGGACGAAGCGGTGCACAAAGAAGTAAGAAACGAAGACGTCAGAGGGGTTTTGATAGAAAAGACATAGGGGTGCCATAGCGAACGATGGTCCTCCCGACGTTCCTTCCATTCGCTCCATCGAATTTCTATCTCATAAAACTCCGCCATGAGATCAATTTTTTGGTTTCATGCCTGTCCCAAGCCAGGATAAAGGAGGAGGGTGCTGTGGTAGGCGCGTGACGGCCAACAGTATTACCTAGTCACATCACATGACATGAATCGAAATATGAATATCGCTATAGCTAGGTCGTCGCCCGTAAGCGACGCGTCATCCCTCCGCCTGGGGGTGGTGTCAAATATGCAAGGGCGCGCTACACTTCATAGGCCTGGGTGTGGTGATAAGAATGTTAAGGTTGCTAGGTCGTCGCCCGGAAGCGGCACGTCATCCCATTGCCCGAGGATGATGTCAAATATGCAAGGGCGTGGTGGGGTCCGAGGCGGGGCTAAGAACAGAAGGTGGAGTGCTAGATTGCGCTTTGGGACGTGGAATGTTGGGTCTCTTACAGGCAGATCTTCCGAGGTAGTCGAAGTTATGAGGAGGAGGAATATCGGCATTATGTGTGTGCAAGAAACTAAATGGGTTGGAGAGAAAGCACGTGAGATTAATCCCGGAGGTTTTAAGTTGTGGTATTCGGGGAGAGATAAGACCAGGAATGGGGTAGGCATTATTGTGGCACGTGATTATGTTGAGGATGTGGTAGAAGTCTTCAGGAAGAACGATCGCATCATGAGCATTAAATTGGTGATGAGGGGTGAGATTGTGTCTGTGGTAAGTGCCTATGCACCACAAGTGGGATTGGATGCATCTACAACTCAACAGTTCTGGGAAGATCTTGAAGATGTGGTGCGACGAGTGCCAAGAGGAGAGAAGTTGGTCATAGGAGGCGACCTCAACGGGCATGTGGGCTCGATTCGTGATGGCTTTGAGAGTATTCATGGCGGACATGGTTTTGGCACTAGAAATGAAGCGGGAAAGAACATTTTGGATTTTGCCTCAACGTATGAGTTGGCTATAATGAACACTTGGTTTAGGAAAAGAAACTCTCACCTTGTAACCTATAGAAGTGGAGCTAATAGTACCCAAATTGACTACTTCTTAGTACGTACTACTTGGAGAACTAGCTACACCGATTGTAAGGTTATCCCAGGTGAGAGTGTTGTCACTCAGCATAGGATGCTTGTGCTCGACTTTCGAAGTAAGAACCATAGAAGACAAGTTAAGCAACAAGTGGAGCCAAAGATAAAGTGGTGGAGGCTTGAGGGAGATCTTCAACAAAGCTTTACACACAAAATGTTCGGTGAAGATGTATGGCGTATTGATAATGGAACACAGGTGGAGGATGCGTGGTTATCGATGGAGCTGACCATTAACAAAGTGGCAAAGGAGGTACTTGGGGAATCTAAAGGATGTTTGCCACCCAAAAAGGACACGTCTTGGTGGAATGATGAGGTGAAACAAGCCATAAGGAACAAAAGAGATTGCTACAAAAAGTTGGGGATAAGTCGGAGTGATGAGAACATAGAAGCTTACAAGGAGGCTAGAAGACAAGCAAAGAAAGCCGTAAAAGAAGCACAAGGGAAAGTGAACAAGGAGTTGTATGAAAAATTGGACTCTAAGGAAGGAGAACAAGAGATCTATAGACTTGCTCGTCTTCGTGATCGCAGGACTCAAGATATCGGAAAAGTTAAATGTGTGAAGGATGTTGATCAAAGGATATTAATGGAGGACAAAGAGATAAAAGAGAGGTGGAGATCATACTTTGATACATTGTTCAACGGGAACAAAGTGCAAGATATCGATGATTTAACCATACCAGATTGTATGGTAAATCGTGATTTTGTGAGAAGGATCCAACCAACGGAAGTTAAAGAGGCTTTGAGGAAGATGGGGCGGAAGAAAGCAGTGGGTCCAGATGGCATACCGATCGAGGCTTGGAGAAGTTTGGGAGAGAGAGGCATCGGGTGGTTAACAAATTTCTTCAACAAAATTTGGAGAAACAACAAGATGCCAACGAGTTGGAGAAAGAGTACTCTTATTCCCTTATTTAAGAATAAAGGTGATGTACAAGAATGTGCCAACTATCGGGGGAT